TTTTGGGGGGGGGGGGGGGCGAAGCTCACGCCGAAGGCGTGAGAGAGACTGTCTAGGTGGGTCCGGTGGCATGCATCCCCTGGAAAACTTTGAAATCTAGAGTCCTTGATATGCGAAATCTAGCAGAATTCCGAGGAGTATAAAGTACATCGAAGACATGAATTTTCCCAGACATTTCTACTCGGAATTAAATAAATTGGAAAAGTCACCTTGAAAAAGAGGACGAGGAATCAGTCATACCTTATTTCCCCTCTGTGATGCTGGGGGGAGAAAATCCCAATGTGATTTTGATCAGAAATGTTGGATATAAATCATCCTAGGTTCTTATGCGACACCATTTCCGCATTCTCAAAATTGCGTTGCTTTTTTATACGATACAGAATAAGTCTGAGAAGAAATATTCAAGCTATGAAAATGCGTACATGTATTTTTTTCAGTTAAAAATCTAAACTAAATCTATATTTATTGTAGCCATATCTACAAGACTACAAATGCTTTAACGAGATTCGTCCCCCCCCCCTCCCGATCGGGCGGGGAGGGGGGATGGCGGGGGGGGGGGCGATTGCCCCTCCTCCTTTGGCTACGCCGCTGTGGCAACTTTTATTCGTCTGCAACGGTATTGCGGTTATCAGTCGAAGCAAATAGGAAGGAGAAATAGAATTTCCCCAGAGAGTCAGGCATTCACCAATTACCTAAAGGGGGAATGTATACGTAGTTCTGCGATCGAAGCAATAATGGTATCCCTGCCATGATGGCTCCCATTGCTGGCTTCTCGCAGCCACTAAAAATCTATCACCTCGGGAACCACTAAGCAAGAGGGGAATATATCACATGTTCGCAATTTTTTTTGGATTCCACACCGCTACCTCCTGCGGATCTCCAGCAGCATATATGTAACAAATATAGATAACGTTTGGCGTTGCACAGTCGAAATTTTAACTATGCCTAATTGATCTACAAGTACAAAAATGAAGAAACGCTATTGGCTAGATTAAGTTCCTACTTAATTAAGGCCGTAATTTCGTGAGCCTGTCCTCTAACAGACAATTGCTCTGGGCCAATGAAATCTATTGAATTCTTAAAAGTTATGTTTTAAATCCTATTCTTGGAAGATGCTCGGAAGACTGTAGCCCTTTCTGGTAAGTGCCTAACCTGCCGCGAGAAATATGAATACCTAATGTAACGATGGGGCATGTGCGCTGTGGAGTAACATTATGGTACTGGTAGTGATGCATACAATTTGCCCAGAAATTCAGCCAAGCGAATTATTCACTTGATGTTCAAATACCGCTCATGGCCAGGAATTATATATTTAGATAGATATTTAGCTGAAGAATTTGGGGAATGTACAAATTTTAACAAGATGTAAAAGACGAACTCTTTACTATATACAAATGGCCTGGCGATCTAAAATAATGAGGTATTCTAACTTTCTGGCGATATTTATTCTAATCCTTGACCAGTTAGTAAAATGGTTCCAAAGCCAGTCAATCTGAAGTACAACATATCTAAAGAAACTTCACACGTCGACGTGAGCAGACGTGCTAAGTTGAGCTCCGTATAAACTCGTCCAATATCTTGTATAGAATATCCCCACAATAGTTACTAACTATGGCCAACGAATTATATTTGAATCTAAAGACTAACGGAGAGAGATTTTATTGGGCCAGCACGTGGTGCGAGCTGAAAAAATTTGTTTTAGACGATCTAAAGCTGACAGGTCGTTGGACTTCACCTGGCGGCGAAGTCAAACTATTCACGAGTGATAATTTAAGTATAAAATGGCATGGGAAGTCTGCTAAATGGATAACGGTGATTGGAGATCCTAGTGACACATTAGACCTTACTAATGTGTTGACGTCTATATCAGAAAAAGCTGCCGATTGTCAGGATGAAACCCCTGAAAATTGTGAACTAATCGACGCTGATGAAGGCAAGCACAATGGCTGTTCTAGTCTAGGTGAGCAAGCCAACGTTGATAAAGACATCCACATTGGCTGTACTAGTCTGGGAGAAAAAGTTGCAGGTATGAGCGAAGCAATTGATCAAACTGCACCCTTGCCTACAAATACGACTAATAGAATTGATAAAATTGAAACCGAAATCAAGTATTTTGAGTCTAAATTTATGGATAAAATTCTAACAGTTGTTAACGATATGAATATTTTAAAGAACTACTGCCTAAATAATCGGCTTGAATGCATAAATGGATTACGGCAAGAAAATACAAAACTTAAGGAAGAAAACAATGCTTTGAAAGATAGTCTTCATATAACTAAATACGCTTTATCTGATTTGAATTATAAAGTAAAGGATCTTGAGAACCAAAAAGATAGCCTTACAACTACTCTAAAAATTTTATATCAAGATTCTCATCAGCACTATGAGTATTGCTCTAAACAAAAGGATGCAAATGTCGACCCATACAACAATTGCTTGAATAAAACTAAATCCGTAATGACTCAGATAGACAGTGATATAAACCATTCTCAAAGTGGACTGAGCGACGAACCGATTATTGTGCTTGATAACGAAGGAGCGGGTGTTACGGACGCTACTATAATTAATCTAATTATTTCGCGCCGTTTGTTGACATTAGCATAATTAATTTAGGGCCAGTCTTCGCGAGCGAGGCTTTTTGGAAAACTATTGATATTCGTGATAGATATACAAACGTAATCTGCTTTAAAATCGCCAGAAGATGTAAGTATTTCTTTCATTTTGACTTTGAAACAATTGAACTTGTTGTTAATGAACGTTATTTGTAATTCTATGTTGCAAACCTTTGTTTACGACCGATATTAGTCGAAATACGGACAGAATCGAGGACAGAATGATGCATGGATATTTGATATGTACAAGATATTTGTCATGATGTACAGCTTAGAATAAACTAAATTTGAGAGTAAATAAAGTGTAATGACGTGGTGATTATTATTTGATATATAAACGACATTCGGTTGGGTTCGTTCCCAACATAGTTTGATCTTTTATGGATGAAATCGGTGCAAAACAGTTCGACGAACTTCGCGATCGACGAAGTCAACAAGCCGGAAGTGACGACGGTTTACGAAGGACATCTCGGACCCGGAAGGTGCCGCGTGAGTACGCAGAATATTTAAATGAAATACATTCCAAAGGACTAAAGCATGAATTATTAAAACTTTCGCAAATTATTGAAGTATCTACAGAGTCTTTAAAAACTTATGATTATAGTAATATTGAGACTACAGAAATTGAAAAAACTTTGGACACTATACATTCAAAGTGGGTTAAGTACCTCAAAGTACATGAAGATTATTCTCAGCTGATTAATAACACGCGTGACTTGGAGCGTCTTAGCATCCAACGTCAAAGTCTCGAACGAAAAATAAATGAATGTAATCAACTAGCTATTGGTCAACTTAACAAGAGCATTCGCAGTTTACAGAGAGACTCAAAGTTTGAGAATGGTCTTCACCTTAAGGATGATGATAAACTTTCTGTGTCAGTACAAAGTAGTGTTTCCATGTCAAGGTCGTCAAAGAGTAGACGTTCAGGGGGGTCCTCTGTGTCGTCTAGGGTGAAGACGGCGGCTCGTTCAGCAGAATTAGCAAGGTTGAAACTAGAGCAGGCAGAGAGAAGAGCAAAAGCAAAGGAAAAACAAATGCAAGAACAGATAGAACGTGAGTTACAAGATTTACGGGACCAAGCAGAGTATTCTCAGTTAGAAGCCGAACTTTTGGCAGCCGATCAGGCAGACGAAAGATATAGTGACTGCGGAAGCATGCGTAGTTTATCAAAGGTTGTAGCTGGTAACAGGGTTAATATGAAGGTAGAAGTAAAAAATTCGACACCACAGGACAGAGCTTTCTACAAGACAGATCACCCCTCAACTCGGCCTGAGTTAGTCAAATCGCCACCCGAATCAGTGGTCGATAGCAAGCAAGGGATTGCGTCCCTTTCTGAGAAATGCAATGACACGGAGCCATCTTCACCCGAGTTTAAACCAAGCGTTGACAAAACTAAACCTGATTTAACAACTACATTACTCGAAATGAATCAGCAATTGGTTAGTGCCATGAAGCAGGGAACAGAAACAACCACTGTTATGAAAGCCATGTTACAGCGGCAAGGGATTCCGAAACCCCAGCCAATGAAATTTAGAGGTGACCCTGCTCAGTTTCCTGTTTTTAAGAAGCGGGTGGAGGTTTGGTTAAACGAAAGAGAGTTTGATGAAAGAGAAAAAATAACTCGTCTTCTCAGTTTCGTAGAAGGTGATGCTAGAGACGCAATTGAACATTGTGAACTGAAATCAAACAGTTTTAGTCAAGCCATGAAAATATTAGAGTCTCAGTATGGTCATCCTTCTAGCGTAGTCAAGGCATCCCTAAAACGAGTCACGGTGGGTCCTCGCATTGAAAGGGGAGACAACAACTCTCTCGCTAAGCTCAGAAATAATTTACGTTCCTGTTTAGAAGTCTTAAAGGACAATGAGAATTACAAACACGAAATTAATGCATCATCTAACGTTGAAAGAGTTGTTGATCGTTTGCCAATGCACATGCAGATAGAATGGGTAAAGAAACTTCCGAAAATTCGTGATGAAACCAAATTGAACCCCACATTACAGCATGTTCTAGAGCTAGTAGAAAGACAACTCAGAATCATGAACGATCCCCAGTATGGACACATTTTGACTACAAAGAGGAAACCAATTGACCCCAAGAACAGGCTACCGAAGCCATCACCTAAACCACCACTTCAGAATCAGATCTCGACGTTGACAACAAACCTCGAAAACTCCGGCTTTTGTCCGTGTTGCAAGGGTAAACATTCACTCACAAACTGTGACTCCTTTGTTAAGAAAACATCTGAAGAGCGATGGGAAATCGTAAAGAATTTAAAGCTTTGCCATTTATGCCTTGCGTCGGGACACATGAAGGCCCAGTGTATATCAACCACCATTTGTAAATGTAAAGCTACCTACAAGCATCACCCACTCCTTCATCGAAGAATTTCGCCACCAAAGGATAACTCTAAATTCCAGTCTAATGATCGTGAATCCTCCAATACCACTCAAAGACAACCAGAGAAAGACAAAGAGAAACCAGAAACAGCTGGATCTGAATCACCCAAATCCAAATTTGGAAAGGACAGTCAACAAGATTCGATGGCATCTTATACGACAATGACGCAAGGAAAGGAAAATCACGTACTTTTACACGTTGTACCTGTTAAAGTGTTAACGAAGGATGGAAACTCGGTCACGACATATGGACTACTTGACAATGCAAGCCGTGGAACTATAGTTGATGCGAAATTGGCAGAGAAACTGAACGTGAAAGGAACTAAACAGTCAATCGCCGTTACAACAGTGCTTGGAACACAGGAATGCGAATTTGAATCAGTGTCCCTTTTGCTTCAGGCTGCAGAAGCCGCAGATTCTGACCCAATATTGGAAGTGAGCGAAGGACTAGTGAAGGAGCTTGACATGAATGAAAGAATTCTCCCAAATGAGATTGACTGTCAAGGATATGAGCATTTGGCTGATATAACGATGCCTGAAGTCGAACTTAAGCGTATTTCTATAATCATCGGGGAAGATGTAAAGGGAGCACATATTGTGCGCGAAGTTAGGGTATCCGAAACCTCGGAATGTGAGCTGTATGCAACCAGAACAGCGCTTGGTTGGACTGTTGCTGGTAGTGTGAATACGACTAACGCTGGTCAGAAAGAGTTATCAGTGAACTTTCTTGATACCACCAATCAGATGCTCAATCGACAAGTAGAGAAATTTTGGGAAATCGAAACATCAGGATTGAGGGAGAACGATTTGAGGAAGGCTGCATCAGTTGAAGATCGTCGAGCCGAGAATATTCTTCAAAGAAGCACAAAACTTGTAGACGGACATTATGAAACAGAATTATTGTGGAAGGACGCTTGTCCTCAATTGCCCAATAACAGA